TGTGCGTTAGTCCCTTACTAAGGACTTTCATAAGTTGCACATTGCATTGTTTGGGGGTTTTTTAGCTTTGTTCACATGTGGCAATAAAGGAGGTAGTTCCCAGGAAGAATTCCAAAGAACTTGGGAGTAACTTGCCCAGCAAGCAAACTTTTTTTGCAGTGGCTCTAACATGAGGGAGATAGATCTATATGCAGTGCCTCCCTCCCTGTATCTACTAGCTCCTGTAGGTTTTAGGGAAGGTCATGCCACTTAGTAGATGCTTAGAATCTCTGGAACATCAGGCCTCTGGTACTTAAAAAGGCCTGGAGCATGTGGTCTGTAAGAGCTGAGTCCATGAGCCACTGGAGGTCAAACCTCTCTGCTTTGGACTTGAGAAGCTCCAGCTGTGTAGTATATTCTGTTCTAACTCTTACTAAGCCAGGTAAATATCCATTGTTTTTAATATTTCCTAATCGAGTTTTAAATCTGTGCTGAGTATATCCCTTTTTCACTCTTAGGGAAAATCATTACCTTAAAGCAAGCTCTAGATGTAGCTTTTTTCATTGAGACTGGATGGCTCTCTCTCAATTAAAACTTGAGTTTAGACATTTTGTTCAGATTAAGAGTGTCTTATTTTGTATTAGTTTAAGTCAATTAGGAATTAGTTGAAGCTAAAATAAAGCTCTTCAATAAAGAACTCTTAAAGTGAAATAAATGTCTCAGTGGAAGTTTGTGTTGGTTTAGCTGTTACATGTAGACAAGCTTTTGGACTTGTGTCACTGTAGAAAGGTTTCTTTGTCCTCTTTTAATAGGTCCGACTTGTACTGCAAGTACAACTTAGGCATTCACATGTATGAAACTAGGTAGTTCCATATGTAAGTGGTAAGCAGTAGCAGTGAATACTTTCATATGAAAATTCACACTTATGAAAACCTGTCTCAAATCTAAATGCAGAAATCTCTGAGCACAAGCAGAAGCTTGGTATGAAGTCCAGATGCTGTTCAGGCCAGATTTACCATCTTCTTCCTTACCATTATATGTTTCCTCCCTGCCAAGGTTCATTAAAAGGGATGTACATTCTCTTTAGTCTGTAGTATTTTCAGGCCCATAAACTTGCTATAAGGGTAAAAAGGGGAAATGTACATTGTAAAACTAAAGAACTGCATTTACAACTTGCAAAACACCAGGTATTCATCAGTAATATTCAACTAAGACATTTGAAAATACCCTAAAGGAAGAAATTGACATGAAACAATGTTTATTAAAAAGGACTGTACAGACAAGCAGAACTTGTAGCACACTGTTATTCCAACTGGGCAAGGGAGTATATTATTTAAACACAGAAGCTGGTGCAACTCAAGGCAAGTACTAATGCATAATAATAAGGAAAAGTCAGAAGGCCTAAACTAAAAATGAACAGTGTCTTAAGTATTCACTTATTAAAGGTGTGCATTAGCTCTTAACTGAGCTCTGCTTAAACAGTCTGATCTTTAAAGCAAAACCTTTTGGGCTACACTTCTTAAAAAATGGCCTCTAATTCTGTAACTTGCAGTCAATGGCAGGTTCAGTGTATGGCAAGCATACTTCAGTCTATCTAACTGAGTGTAACGATTATAATTTAAGGGGTGTCTTCACAATTAACCTGGATGATTGGTATTCAACACTGTACAGTCAAGTTAGCATAGCCTGGGCATGAATGTCTCTATAGCAAAGCCCTGTTCATTTTACACTGTCCTCCTTGTTATAGCACCTTGCCATGTGTCTCACACAGGGGCAGATCCAGAGAGGTGTGGTGGTACAGCTGACCCCCCATCTCAGGTTGGACCATGCTACAGGAGCCACTGGAGATTTTTTTAAAGTCCTCAGAGCACCTGATAACCTCACCCTTTCCCTCCATGCAGAGGCATGTCTCCTCCCCTCCCCACCTTCCTTCCCTTGCCTGCTACTACTGCTTTTCCCTGCCATCTTGTGGAGGGGGAAACTCCTGCCTACTCCAGCTGGGCTGCATGGGGGCTGGGCTTAGCTGGCAACAGTGACAATGGTCGGGGGGTTCCCCTTCCCTGTGCCAGGTTGGGGAACCCATCCCCTCACCTGTCAATGCTGCTGCCACTGTCACTGCTCCAAGCTGAGCCCAAGCTCCCATGCAGCCTACCTGGTTCAGGCAGGCATAGCTTTGAATTTTCCCTTATCTCAGCGCAGCAGGAAAAGCAGCAGCAAGAGAGGGAGAAATGGGAACAGAGGGAGTGCGTTTGAGCATGGAGGGGAACAGTGGGATTCTTATGTGCTTTGGGAACTTTAAGAAGGTTACCAGAGGCTCCCATGGTGTGGCCTGTCTACACCAGCAGATGGGCAGAGGGGGAAGAGGAAGGCTGGAAGTGCCGGGTGCAGCCACTCTTACACCATAGGTGGCTGCTCCCACACCCCCCTTTTCCAAATCTCAGAAGTGCCCCTGGCCTCATGGCACACATGCCCTGGTTGTATGTGTCAAGATGCTGTAGGATTTTCTCCCAGCCAGTGGTGTCATTGCAAGAGAACTTCTCTGTCTTCTTGGGAAATTGTAGGAAGGGCAGACGGTCAACAAAACGTGATTCTCTTTGGTTTTGCCCCTGCATCCCTATTGCAAAGTGGGTTTGTTTCACAGCATTAAATTGAATCAGGTTGTAACAGTACAAGAAAACTTGGATTTGTGGAGTTTTGTGAGTGGGATAGCTTGGGCTGAAACTAGAGGAAGAGTCCAGGTTAACACTGCAGTGAACCCAAACTTTAGAGTTACAGTCACCCAAAATTAGAGGCCATTGTTGATCTGTAGAAGTTTCTACTTTACAAAAAGTTGAGAAATTATATAACTATGGGACAGCTTTGCGTAAGCCTGAGAGATGAAGAATTCAGTATGTCATAATATTCTTTCTAGTCTCTGAACAAGAAAAAGGGAGATCAGAAAAAGAAAAGGCCCAGAGCTGTCACATGTGAAGGCATCCAGTAATCTTCCTTCATTGGTCTGTGGTAGGGAGTGCCAGGTAGACACCGTCTTCCTTAGCAAGAACCCTCCTCCCTTAAATATGTCATTCCATTTTTGACTTCTTGGTGCAAGTCTGCCTCACTACCAGCAATGCACAGCATTCATATAGCACAACTTTATAAAGGATACGAAAACAGCTATGTAAACACTAATACATGGTTATCTGTGTTTTATGCACATAATATAAACATGTTGTTTTTCCTTTAAAAAATGACATTGTTGAACACAAAGGCACAAGAGACTAGTTTAAAATAAAAATAAAAATCCAAAGTACTGAATTAGAAAATGGTGCATCTTCAAGCACTCTCCAGTTCAATCAGGAAATCCCCAAACAGGAATAACCCTGGAATGTAAGAATGAGGCAAGAATAGGTAGGACTGATCCTGTCTGTTGAGGGAGTGGCAGGATTGGACATCAGCATGTTTACCAATCCATCCTTCTACAGAAGCTACATAATTGCAGAACCATTCGCCCAGTGTCTGTTGTCATTAGGTTTTGAAGTTATATACATATGTTAACAAAAGGATGTACTCATGCATTCAAATTCAGGGCTCTTATACCACCCTCTCACCCTGTGTACATTTTCCTATCACCCCAGTAGGAATTGCACTGTACAGGAAAAATAACAGATACAGCCCCTTTCACTTTCAAAAGCAGAATGCAGTATTTTAGGTTTGTTAATATATGCAAGTCAGGACACACAGAAGTTGTCAGACAGTGTCACCACTGCCATCTACTGAATAGAACGTTAGACTTGAAAAACTGTATTTAGGACCAGATTATTTTCCAGTGGCTTCATCTTATGCAGGATCTTGGCTCCATTACTAAAGCTAAAAAAATTCCCTCTACATTAAGTGGCAGAAGCCTATATTTTCCGGAACAGAAGCTCCTGAGTTCTCTCTCTACTGTGGACAGATGTTTATATAATCATGAAACCATTACAATGGTTCAATGCCAACTAAAATTATATTAAATTATAAGGTTCACTTCAGTAAAACACTCTGTGACAAGATGGGAAAAACTTGGTAACTTGACCAGCAAAAGCCCTTTATGTGGGTTTGTAGAGTCCCAAACAGAGGGAAAGGCTCCTCACCAGAGTCTGGAAACTAACTTGTTTGCAAAAAATAAGAATTCCTAAAACAACCACTCCAACACAATTGCAGAAGAAAGCCTAATTGAGTAGGCCCTTGCTTGCATAATCCCTAAAATTATTAAAATAATTTTAATATTAAAATATTCCAGTTCTTTAGTAGGATTTTTAAACACTATTTGAATCTGCCCAAGTCTATGAGACAAGCCAGCTGTACCAGCCCCATAGCAGACTTGCAAACAAAGCAATGATTGGGATTAGGATCCAAGGGGTTCTGGGCCCTAGTTCTGTATTAAGGACAGTGCCCTTCATACCTACTCAGAGAGAATCTATCATTACGTATTTAATTGTCCCTTTAGCTGAGGCACACACACGTGTTAGAGGATTGTGATACATACTCCAAGTGGACTCTGATACATATGTGAAGCAAGGAAACATACTTGGTCCTGGCCTAGAATTGCTTGGGAAATGGCCTTTTTGCTTTCTTTGTGGAAAATTTAAGCTTTTAAAAAAAATGACATTTTGGTGAAAAAAAATCATTTTGTCAAAAACCCAATTTTTAACAACATTTTTTTCAACCAGTCCTACTGGTTGCGTCTGCACAAGACACTGACTGTACAGTTGTTACTGCACAGTCATTTAGGACTAGTATACCTAAATGCTAAATGACTGTGCAGTAAAAGGGTGTTACTGTGCAGTAGCATCCCTGCACGGCTTCCTGGTGCTGCTGAATGTGCAGTAGCTCGTTACTATTGTGCTGTAGCATCATGTCACGTTCTGTGCCATGTGATGCTACTGTGCAGTAGTACTGAGCTACTGTGCAGTAAGCGTCTTATGCAGATGCAGCCACTGAAAAGCATACTAGTGAAATTCCCCATGACTTCACTGGGCATTGGGCCTGCCTGTATTCAAAGGCTGATTTTTGATCCATACAAGCAAGAGGGACAAAGACACACAGAAGAGTTAATGTTACAGTCAATGGATGTTAGAGATGAGGGATCTTTGAGAGTTTTCTCTGAAGAATCAGGTTCAGTTCCTGGGCTACAGAGCATTGGCAATTCACAAATACTTCTGACTTCAGCCTTACTACTTAATTGAAGTCAGTCATATGAGTGCTGAAAAATGGCCATGCTAAGATGCTAAATGTAATGAACCTGTGTTATTCTCAGCAATTCATTGGACTGCTATGATGTGGTTCTCTCCCTAGATTTTACGCTTGGTCTGTGGGGATACGACAATCAGACCACATTAATCTGAACCCCAACTGCACGTGTTGATCTCTCATCTGTCTAAATCCTTGTTTTCTCTCATATACTTAAAGCCTCTTGATAAAATGAGCTCTGGTCTACACTTAGCCATGTGCAATCTTGCTGGTTAGATTAAGATATAGTTCTTTAGCACAGCAAATGGATACTCAAGCACTTCTATTCTTCAAGTGGCATTTCCTTAGGAGGAGAAAATTAGAGTAACTTTTTTAAAAAAGCAGACATAAAATTAACTGCAGTAACACTGGATCATTAAGAATGTTCTGGTATTATGGCCAATTCCTGCTTTTTAGTCAGATACTATAGTGGTAAACAGTGCAGAGAGGGAAAAACCCAGGGACATTTTGGCAGGTACAGTAGAAGTAACTCACGTCTGTAGTAATTAACTATAAAACATGTATTCTTAAATGGATCTTCATGGTAAGGATCATCTCTCCTTTTCGACAATCAGATTTATGAAGTGCCCACTGGCATTTAAACTACTTGCTTTAGAAGTTCCACTCTGCTTAGCAGTCAGAAAGACGGAATGACTGAAACGTGAAAGTGTAGCACCATCAACACGTCTCTTCCTAAAACCAAAACTCGAGGACTGGAAGGAAATTCAGACATAACAGAAACATTGTGCTTACATCACATTAAATAGAAAACAATGGATAGATCATACTTGAGTCTGCACTTTGATAAATTCTGGCCACGTTTACAGTTCTACTGGAAAGGGTTTGGGATGGGTCATATGTTTGCTCCATGGTCTCCTATGTCTCATTCATCCTGTTTCCTCTTGGGTTTTTTTGGATTCCGAGACCGGCTCTTTGCTTTGCAGAGCGGGCATATGGGTGCATTCCGATGAATTTGTTGGTGGCAGGATAAACAGGCCTGAAATGAAATATTGCATCCTATTACTGTTTGGCAAACTCATCAGTAAATCCATAAATCCTGGTGAGACGTACTGCATATTGAGCATCTTATTTTAACTCATTCTAAGGAAAAAGTAACCAAAGCTCCATGTTCTCAATACCAAAACGGAACCAGCTTTTGTGGTGAGGTCCCTGGATTTTCCAAAGTCTTCAGGCCAAATGAAAGCTAGATGATTTACTGAATTAAATAAACAAATGAATCAATGGTCAACACAACCTCCATGTCATTTACTCCGATATTATATTCCAATTTATTTTTCTCTTTCTCCACATTTTGTCCAGTACAACCTCATTAGAACAAACCCTGTTTATGATAAATGCCTTGCTTTTAATAATTCCAATAGCAGGAACCAATTTCTTTGTTATTATTATGTCGCAGCAAATTGACTAACCCTCTTTTAATGGACTTTTCTCCTGGTCCCACAGGGGTTCATTAAAACAAGACTGCACTGTAGTAAAGACGCCTAACTGGATCAGAGAAGTGGTGTTGTAGTCCAGCTGCAGTTTCATAGAATTTAATCCAGAAGGGGTCATTACACCGTTTATATTGACCCGTATACCAGAGGCCTATATAGATTTTTTTTTCAGTTCCCTCTCTACTGAGCCCAATAACTTGTGTATAACTACAGCACAGCTTTCAGTTATATAGCTACTTTTCGTTTGAAAACATCAAGAGGTGGAGAATCTACCACTTTCATTGGTAGATTGTTCCAATATTTAATTGCCTTCAGTGTTAAAATGTATGTCTTCTTTCTAATTTCAGTGTGTTAGGCTGTAACTTTCCACTGTAGTTCTTACTAAATTAACAAAAAGACCTTTTTAGATGCTGGTATTTTTTCTCTGGGAAACTGCTATTTCTCAAGCTCAGGCAGTGCTGGAAGAATGGATGCCTGCTGCCTCTCCCCCAAGGGAGATTCTCCAATAGAGAGCGTGATCCGCTCCCCTACTGCCTGCTACAGTTCTGGTAGCTTCTTGGGAACTGCTCTCTATTCATCCCAGTGTAAGCAAAATTGGAATTGGTCCCATTTTTTTTTTTTTTTACACTAATCACTTCAGAACAGAGCATACTCCAGTCACTCAAGAGACAAAGTGCCACATTCCACCTCCTAACCTTCATCGGAGGTGGCTGTTGTCTGAAAGTTGCCGTCTGTCTGGTATCTTGCTTCCTCGCCACTTGTAGCTGTTGGGCAGCAGCTGCAGCTGCTGCCAGCGATTCTGGGATGGGAGGTTCCTGTGGTTCTGTCTGCCATTCGGCTTTCTGCTTCTCAAAGTAACTACACGAAAACAAACCAAAAATAGAATCAGCTGCTGACCCATCCTTTATGTAGCAAGCGTTGCTGGTAATAGCTGTTCTGTGTTCGAATATAAAGGACTGTACTCATCCCTGGAGGGGGGTGGGTTCTACAAGAGACAAATGACTTACCCTAAGGACTCATTTGAACCACTATATTTCAAATGGGGTCAAAATGAATTGATGCATGTCACCGATTCTAATAATTGATTGCCCTGCCCATGCCTCCACACCTCTTTCTAAGGAGTTCTCTTTAACTAGACCTCAGCTTTACAATAAGTTCCTTTTTACTAACCAGGTATGTGTGTTTAAGTAAATTAAATAGCTTAATATGCTTTTTAAATTCAAATTCTTAATTTTCATACTAGAAAAATGAGAATAACATTTCTTGCTAGGTAATTTTTTTGTACTTGTGTTTTGTAATGAGCTGGTTTGGGAGAGAAATAGGAATTCTAGTCAAATGAAAAAGGCCAGAATTTTAAAATTGTTTTATTAAAATGAAATTATATTAGATATGCCCCAAATCCATAAGAAAAATAAGTTTATTAAAACATATTTTGCACTGAAAACTAAATTATTTATAAAGCAAGCGATGTATCTTTAGCTGGTGGATTTAACTAATTGATTTCTGGTCACCAGGTCTTTCAATATTGTTTAAACTAGTAGATCTTAGCTTAACACACCTAGATTTATTCATAGATGTGAAAGAAAAAAACAAACTTCCCTGCTTTTTGCACTCCCATTCCATTTTTCTGGATAAAGGAGTTACTGAAATGACCTAGAATAAATAAACCAAAATAATTAAAATATTTCTATGCATCTGCAAAAAGGCTACAGCTATCAAAAGCAAGTTTAGCCCTTCAACAAGCACTAATTTCAGGTACTTAGTCAATTAATTATCTTGTTCAGTCCTATGTTTGGCATCATTCATGGGCAGTAAACATGTGCTGCCAAAATGTTTCTTCCTTTTTTTAACTTAAATTATTATAGAAGTTTATAATAAAGTTTAGGCCTCAGTTTAAATGGTCATAATTTGAAACTTAAAATGGCGAATTTTTTTTTTAAAGTATTTAATATTTTCAGTTTTAGCGATTGATTTGTATTTGCCCTGAGTGTTAAAATGTAGCTGGTGACCATAACCATAAGTCCTCTGACACCCAATAAATAATAAAATAGACTGGTAAAACTGGACAGATCTAACCAATAACAGATATAGATTGCAATAAGTAGTATAGCTATTTGGGGGAAGGGGGTTATGCAAGTTAATATTTTACACAAAAAAAAAAAAAAAATCAATGCAAATAAAAGTGAAAACAAGAACATGACAATCTTAAGACTGAAGAAATGCATTCATTGGTCACGTTTAATCTAAAGCTTTAGACACGAGTTCTGTGACTCGTTTCATATCTTCTAAGGCCAGAAGGGATGAGATCATTTGCAGTGGATCAGCAAGAAACCTGCAGACCCTACTCTATTATTATTTCATACAAGAAGCCAAAATGGCAGAATTTGTCATTTCTTTCTGAAATGCAAGGAGCCATTCTTTGGAGAAGCATTATTAACTTGCCTTTCTGGATCTCATATGGGAAGAATGTCATTAATGCTTTTACCAGAGATCCAGCCATCCGGATTCAGTAGCTACTGCACCGTAGCATCTCGCGTAGACATACGCTCTGTCAACTACTACAACAGATATCAAACTAGAAGTTGTAGCACTGATGCTCAAGGTTGCAAGGTCCACAGAAACTCAGTTATTGTGGATGAACATTGACAAAAAGTGGGGCTGCAAGTCCTAGTGGGCACTGTGTGGTCATGACCTGACCCGAAATGTAATTACATGCCAAAAAACCTGGACCTCTTTATTGGGTGCATCCACCACAAGATTCCTTAATGCGTAGTGGACTGTTCTACTGCACATTAGCATGTCACAGCAAAAAAATGTGCAGTAGAATTAGTCTACTGCGCATTAAGTGTCACCAAAAAAGTTTGCCTTTGCTCCTGTACATTAGCTCAGCTACTGCGCCTTTATCTAGTACCTCCTATTAGAGGTACTAAACTTAATGTGTGCAGTAGCAAAGGCGCATTAATGAATGTGTAGATGTGCCTGTGTAGTAGGATGATAATCCTGGGTTCCTCTCCCACCTTATCCTATACCCATGCTAATTTAGATGGAAGATATGGATCCTTTAGAAAAAGCACCATGTAATTAAAAAACAAACATTTAACTGCCCTTGAATTTTGCAGTTTGGAGCTGGAATTTGCTGCTTAGGCAGTTCTAAATTAAACTTTCATCTTTGCCCCAAACTCAGATCGAACCTTTTTATAGGCCTGAAAGGAGCTGACTCACTTTTGTTATGCATATATGAACCCCCATCTCCTCTTCATTAATTGCATTAATTACATTTCTTGCTTCTGAGTTTCCACCTTCCAGCTGACACCAGAAATATCTTGCAAATCATGATTGGCTAGAATGCCAGGTAGTGCTTGATCTCAAGACTTACTCAAGGGAGAGTTTTTCTTCCTCCTCACAGAGATCTGGCAGCCTCTGCAAGCCTAGAGTCATCCGCAAAGCATCAACATGCTCTTTCAGGGGCTTGTACTCTTCGTGCAGGCGTCGAGTGGATTCCAAGAGCTTGTTGAGGTCATTCTCAGACTGCTTGATGGTGTTCTCCATCTGAAACAGGAAGAGATACTTGCTTAATGGATTGTTTCATTCACTAGTCTCTGAACCCTCAGCCAGAGATGGCAGAGTACAGCGAAGTCCTTTTGAGAGCAGAACTTTTCATATTGAAATTGTTAGCGAATACACAGACAATGACATGGTCAAATACAGAGGGTAGAAGAGGGGCAAGGAAGCAGTTCTTAGGCAAGGCATTGTCTTATTAAATATGTGAGGCAGTCTCACAGAAGGATTCATCTTATACCTTTTTCTGCGCAAGAGGAATAGCTAGTAGGCTGGATTGCTGAATAAGAAGCTTTGAAAAGATTCTTGCCCAGTGTTAAAATGAAATAAAACCACTCTGCTAGAGCAGGCCAAACTTTTTGTCTTGTTTCAAACTGTGCCAAACACCCTAGGTTCAAAAGTTTGCTTCTGATTTTGTTGGGAACCTGTTCTAGTTGGGCAAAGGAGTAAGAAAAACAGCAGACAGAAAGATAATGTGATGGGGAAAAATAAGGTGAAAGTAGACGATGTTAAGGAACAGCTGGGAGGAAGAGAAACAAATCTCATGATAAATAAATGTAGGCTGAATACAAAGCACCCATTTATGCCTGCCTAAAACTTGGAGTTTCTCCTTTTCTACTACAGATCCCAGGCATCCCTGTAGCTAGAAATATTTTATAACTGTAGGGTGTAGAAGCCATGGGTTTAAAATTGCAGTCTTCTAAATATTGCATTTTCCTTTTTTGTGTAGTGTCCCTTCTCTTGCTATTTCTCTTTATTTCCTTAGTGCTTAGTGTCTCCAATCAAGGACAAAGGCTCTCCTATGTTAAAAGCTGTAGACCTCAAAAAGCTACAAGCTATATCCCATCCAATTACAAAAGATGCTAAATTAGATAGGTTATTTAGATAGGTTAGTTAGATAGGTCAGAAGGTTATTTAATAGGAAGCGAGAGGAAAACATTACTGTGGCTGCTGGAAAAGTTATACCAACAATGAGCAGGGTTATCTAGGCCCTGACCCCAAAATTACACCCATGCCTGTTACTAAAAATCTTCTTCTTTGATACAGATAAGCACCAGTGGTGATTCCCAACACATCCAACATCAGCTGAATGTTCCTTGCCTGGTGTCAGTGGAGCCCCAGGTTGTAAATCTCTACTCTGTCAAATGTATCCCTCTGGGGCAATTCATATGGAACTATATCTAGATATAGATGTTGATATATGGCTCACACTGTCCACAAGCTACATACCACATTGATATCAGCATGGATCAGCCTCAACTCCTCCACGTGGGCCATTTTCTCCTGCAGCAGAAGGTCCATCTCCTGCTTGTATTCCTTCAAATGCCTCTCCTCTGATTCCAGGGCTTCAAACTCTGCCTTGAGACGTGCCTTGATCTTTTCCATCTGCAAAGTTTTATTCCTGTAAGCCAACAGACATTATAAACCTAAAGGGACAACTGCACGTAAATTCTGCTTAAGAGAAATCTAAGAGACATCGCTGTAGATGCAAGCAAATGTGTTCACCACTAGCAAGGGGCTGGCAGGAAAGAGTAAAGACAAAACAAAGTATGCTTGTGAAAGGGTGATATGGTCTGTATGGAATCCTAGAGCTGTGGAACTCCTCAGGTATGTACACTGCTCTGTGCATATTTTACAGCACTAATTTAGAGCACTATCAAGTGCTCTTAAACATGACAGAAGTGCAGTGTTTGGTGTGGGTGCTTCTGAACCTCCCTGTACTTTCCAGGCTAGGAGGCAGGGGGTGCTCTGCAGCCTTCTGGCTGCCTCCACTGGTCAGAAATTTGACCAGCACACAGAACTTATTTGAAGTGCTGTAGGTTGCGAAAGTGCTGTAAAATACAGCACTTCAAATTTAATAACCTGTTTAACAAAGGTTCATTTGAAGCGCTGTACCCATTTTTATAGTGCCGTAAAGCTGTGCCCTTCTGTTAAGTCACGGCAATAAAGTGCTTTAAACAGTGGAAAAAACCAACTTCTGTACACACCCCTAGGTTCTAATCCCAGCTCTATTGCTGTGTTGTTGTTTCTATTTTGTTACATAAAATAATCAAATTGCATGCCATGAAACTGACCATGATTTAGCAGTCAGTATAAACCCAGACAAATATCAATACAATTAATTGTAATCAGTGCATTGTGAGTAAACCTGGATGCTAAGTGAACAGAATACCAGGTGCTACGAGATGATGTTTACACCCTTTGGATTTAAAGTGGGCTCTGTGAAACAGACTATAAAATGGAAATTATGTCATATTACCAATTACGCCAATGCTAGTTTGAGCCACTAAAACGTAAACTTCTGCTTTGTGCAAAGGAAGTTCTAGAGCAGGGGTTCTCAAACCGGTACATGTACCCCTGGGGGTATGCAAGACATCTTTTGGAGGGTACATGGGAGAAATTGTGTAATAGCGGATTTAATTTTTATTATAATAATAATTGCTATTTAAGGGGTTAAAATATAAAACATATGCTGGTAGGGGTATACGGGCAGCTGGTAAATCTAATAGGATAATAGAAGCTCTGATGGCATTTCAAAACATCTAAAATCCCACCTCCAGCTTACAGCATGTTCTTTTGATTCTCAACCAAGCTCTCGCCCCTTTGAGGCTATTTGGCCCTGCCACTCCTGGTTTTTTGCATTCCAGTTTTTGTTTATTCCTTTTAAAATGGTACCACCCTATATTTTATGCTTAAAAGCCATGCAGTCTGGGCAATGTCTGTCTTTCTAAAGCTAAGATAGAAGGTCTGGTTGTTCAAAGACTATGCCTTCTATGGTTGTGACTTAACACTGGTTCAGGCTACATCAATTTGAAAACAGTTGACTGGACAGACAAGAGACTCTTTTATTTCCCAACCCAATTTAGCTGGGGCCATGGGTGAGTTGTACTCCAGTCTTCAGTTTCCAAAGACTAGTAATTGAGCTTGCTTAGATCTCCAGGATCTCATGACTTCACTTCAGCCACTGCTGCACAAAGCAAGATTGTGGCATTTCTGTTTAATGACATTCCCTCCACTGCACTGATGATTCAGGTTTGGCACCAAGTACATTAAAGTAACATAGTAGATTCCCTACATGAGTAGGAAGAGGCTTGAGAGAAACAGAGTTTTATCTACATTTAGATAGCTTGTTCCTGCACCAATTCAAGCCAATAACCAAGACTCCCACAGAGTTTAGTGGGAACCATATTGACCCCAGAGTTTATTTTCCAGATTCCTGTATATTATTTATATGGCAGATTTGGTCCTAATGAGTGCTGTGTGCCTCAGCTGTCAATAGCCCTGATCTGCTTTTACAGAAAAAAGAGCAAGGTAAGACTGTTGTCTTCAGTGGGATTTGAAGACACTGAGCACGCTGCAGTAATTGGCTGTAAACTTTTTTTCTGGCAACTGACGGCTGTCAAACCTGGGAGGCAATTGTTCATTACACAGACTAAAGCTGCTTCCCCCCCAGCACCCACAGACTTATAGAAATGTATCTCCTGGGAGTAAGGGGTCGTCTAGCCTGATGTCTCCTTATGGTGCTTGTTTCATAAGCATAGGATTATAGCATTTAAAAACCCCTTCTCCATACCCCCCACCAGTCAGCATATTCTGGAAAACCTTCCATTTCCTTGAAGGGCTCTAAGGGTGAAAGTGAATCTCCTCTCTTCTCTCTCTTTTGTCTCCTACTAAGGCTCCATGTTGACATTACTCCTACAGCATGCTTTCCTTATTAACTACGCAGAGGAGATTTAAATCTGCTTCAAGATGGTGATGCATAGCCCCTTCCTTCTATTTCTTTACATGACCAAGACTCACAAGGCAATAACACAAAGCTGTGCCATTCACATCTGGCTCCTGCTTACAGCTGTACTAAGTGCTCCTCTGTGAACTGCACTAGGAATAGTCATCAGACTCTGCCCCAGCTTTCATTAGAGCTGTGCTCACCAGCTGTGCTATTGTGAAGGCTATGGCATTGCTTCTGCTAAGCCTTCTCTCATTTCCCCTGGCTTCCGGTTCCTAGACTGTACTGATAAATACAATGCTTGCTGGGGTCTCCAGCACTTCTGATTCCACCCCAGGTGTGTTTGCAAAGTCGTTAAGAGCTTCAAACAAGTAGGAAATGAAAGCCAGAGCAGGCTGCCAGCATTTGGTTAAGAAACCAAAATACACCTAACAAATTTCAAGAGGAGCAGAATAACATTTTTGGGCAACAGATTCTATCTACCCACTATGACTTCTCTGGATGGCAGTAAAGTTAGAAGAATTCCCCCAGCTCAAATCAGGAACTGAGGGTTAGGTTAGCTTCAGATCCAAAAACAGTACCACACATTGCATCTCTGCTGTGCATCATTCCCATCTCAGGACTGTCTGGCAGTGATAATATAAAGGGGGGGGAGCACGACACAAATCTTTTTGGAAGTCTGAATGAGAGTTTAGATGCTTCACTGCAACAAAGCACAGAAAAGGTCTTCATCACATGACATCATTTGAAAATAGTCTTGAAAACGAAACAAAAAAAAATCTCTCTTTGAATAAAAAGGTCTGGATTAATGTTGCTTCTGATCAGCACGATTGCAGCAGGGAGCAGAAAAGCTGGGAGCAGAGATGTATGTGCACAGTACAAAGCCAGCTATAGAACTGGGTCAGCTCAGAGATCAGTAAAAGACATTTACAAAGACATGGGACACGTATTTAAGCTTGCTATGAATGCCTTTGTAAATATACTTACTCATCAGACCGTGGCTTTTTTTTTCCTACAGATTTTTAAGTTTTAGTTGCTTGATGAACATTTTATAATGACATACATTAATGTTTCATATGTCATATGGTAATAAAGAAAATATATGTTTCATACAGATAAACATGAGCATGTGTTGTTTCACAAGGAAACCAACTGTCTCCGTTTTGAAGAATTGGGGTCAATCCAGGAAGGCAAAAATGGCAGCTCAATGAACCAGCTGGGTATCAAGGTGGAGGGGGGAGTTCAAAAGTTTTGGGTGGAGTTTATACATCTAAATAAAAATGGGAGTCCTGAAAACTCCCACCTATGCTCCAGGGGAACCTCACTTTTGTAGTTTAAAGTTCCCCACATGTCCCTGTGTATGCCCAGAACTGCCCAACCTGCAACAATGCTGAGCAGCTCTGGGCCTACCTCATATTTAAGCCCATCTGGGACTAGAGATGAGCCATTCCTCAAACAAGCATCCTGACAGGCTCAATCCAGTGGGGACTAAGAGCCCTATAACACTCCAACAAGGTTGGGATCCACACACAATGCAACTGGGGGCACCATTTTGATTTAAAGCATAGCTGGAGGAGGAGAGGGGTCCCCCCGTTTTATCTATGTTACATTTAACAGTCATTGGATAGAATACAGAAATCATCCACCCCTGACTGAGTGCCTTTAACATGAGATTGCAACTCATGTCCTTTCTTGCGTTTTTTCCAGCCCAGTGAATCTTGAATTCTTTTCTGCACAGCAACAAAGCTTCAAAAGGCTGGATGGAAGGGGCCTCCACCCACAATAGGCTGGTGGTCAGACAGTGTCCTAGTGGGGCCACATGAGTCCTTTGTTGGAACTAGCCCTATAGCAATAAGTCTTCCCCTAAGAAAGCCAAAGATAATGTCAAAACAACTGGCTACCTGAATGCATTGATTTCTGCAGCCTGCGGCAATGCTTCTGTCAACAATAAAGCAGTTGCTGACTCGATTTCCGTTCCAGTGGCCCAAGCCAAAGTTTATTAGCCTGTCAAGGATTAATGGTCATTTGAGAGTTTTAAAAACTACAACAGGGTAGTTATCGGGCAGTGACAGTAAAGCTGTTGTATGTTGTGCTCTCAGAAGTAACAGTGCTGATTTTTCCTGCACAAAGAGAACTTTACTAATTGGTAATCTGATGAAAATCATGAAGAAAAGCTGCAAAGTATGGCATTATTTCTGGTAGCTTGTAGCAAGTTTGAGGATACTTAGCAAGGAAATTTCTCACCAATTACAGGGGTAAGAAAGGTTTTAGAAAATTAATGTATTTTTATGTTTCATATTAAATTTTGCTGTTTGCAGAAGGAAGAGAATTAATGCAATGTGTCTTCAGATATGTTTTTCTTCGGCCGCGTCCACGTGAGCAGGGGTATGCATTTGCAGCAGCACAAATATGAATGGCACAAATTTGTGTCGCCACCTTGTGCTGCAGCACATGCCCCTGCTCATGTGATTTGCAGTGGGACACATTGTCCTGCTCCATGGGCGGCGGGGGGGGGCTGGCTGGGGCACAGCCTAGGGCTGCCTGCTCTCCGGTTTCGGCATGCTGCAGAGCCCCTGCACTGAGGCACCCTGCGCCCCAGCCAGCCACTCCCTGGCTGGCTGAGGTGCAGTGTGCCTCGAGACAGGGGAGCAGGTAGCCATGGGCTGGCTGCTCCCCTGTCTCTCCATACCTATGTGCAAGAGCTCCGCTGTGGAGCCCCATCTCAAGGCACGTTGCACCCAAACCAACCGCAGAGCAGCTAGCTGGGATGTAGCGTGCCTCAAGATGGGGGAGCAAGCAGCTCCCTGCGTGCCTCAGCATGAGGGCTCCCTGCTTCCCCGTCTCCATCTTTGTTCCAGCACATAGCACTTTGGCATGCTTTGCATGGCTTGGCAGGGGGGGAGGATTTTTTTGCCCCGGAAATCCGGATAGGAAAATTTGCCCCAGTGCAGCAAATTAGCAGCACCGCACGCGGTTTAACATACATACAACACGTGCAGTTTGTGGTGCAGCAGAGAGGTCTGCCATGCCACAAACCACACATGCCTACATGTCTGGATCCTGCCTTAGTGTGCAAATAGATGTCGTCTTGTGCCACCATAACATTTTTTATGGTTGCACAATTTGCAAGCAAGCACATGTCCTAGACCTCTGTCACGCTCCAAGTGCCTGTCTATGTTACTGTGACCAAAGGTAGTTGCAGTTTGTGATGCCTTAAATGGAGGACATCTGCTTGCTTATTGCACACCTTGGGAATCTCCCTGGAGGGGATGCCCTCACCCAAGGTACATGTCTTCAAGTGGGAAAACCCCCATGAGGTGCAGAGCAAGTCAGGGCACCACAGCCAGATATGCATGGTGCAGAAATCTCCTGCGGGGGGGATACCCATGGTGTGCAATAAGCAAACCCCACATTGGGGGGTTGCCTCTTTTGCAGATGCATCACTCAGGACTACTGTCCTACAAAATCAGGTCCTTGAAGCTCCGAGTGGCAGGGGCCCCACCCAATGGAGCAGAGGCCCCAGAAATATCTGGTGATACCAAGGAAGCGGATCAGCTGTCCCAGGGCACATCCCAACACAACTGATCCTGCTCCAAAAACCACATCTGTTTATAGGCTTGTAGTGTTTATACTCCTATGTTTTAGAGGTCAGGACAGGTATTTACTTAATGTGCTCTGAAGAATCCTATTCATGTAAAACTGTATTGCGATTAACTGTTTGTTTTTCAATAACATCTCAAGGATGCTAGTCAGTCTCTGACAAGTTCAAAACAACCTCTGCTCAGAAAAGCTTGCAATCTGTGGTACCAATCCTGCACCCAGATCTTCTGATCTCTGCATTTTTGTGGAGTATCTTTGTGTTGAGTGGCACTCTGTCCAGGTGCAAGAGTTTGCACTGGCAGATTTGAGGCTGGTGCAGAGAAGGAGTATCATAAAATGGGTGGGAGTGATACAATCCAAATATTTATGCTTGATTAAATATACATTATGTGATTTTTGTTTAAAGTGGAGTCATTCTCTTCTAAGCTGTTCCTTTATTTTTTCCAGATATCATAACAGAAGCAACTCTTGAAGAAGGACTTGGAGAAGGATGTACTGGATTTGGCTGACCAATTTCATCTGTGGTAATGAGAGTACCTGCTATTCTGAATGTATGTAATACATTTGCATCAAGGAAATTGCTTTTCTCATTTTCTCTTTTCTGTATACAAGTGTCTTGTTAAAAGCATAGACCATATTAATTCGACATTAACATCATCACTGTCTTTGGCTCCACTTAAAACATCTTTAGTAATAACAGCAGCTTTGACTAATGAAGCTAAGAACACGTTTCCTTTCTCTCTATTTTGTAATATATATTCCATTTATTTCTTGAAGACAATGAAAATAGACAGGTTAGTTTCATTGCTATTGCTCATCACTGACTTACGAGGTGCTGCCCAAATGATACAGAGTTGCAGTGGTCTGTTTCAACCCAAGCAATTAATTTGTTACATTAAAAAACACGCACAGATAATGAACTTTTTCTGTTACAATCTGGCCACATAAAATATTTTTGAAAATAAAAGACCTAATTTTGGTTATCTAGTTGAATCTGCCCTTGCTTCTATTCTTGTCTTTTCTGTTGAGATGCTTATACTTCTCTTACCCCTCTAGTATCTACATGGCATCCAGTAGCACATTAACCAACATCTGTCACGAGTGTTTCATTCTCATTGACTCACCCTCTTCACTGGGGGAATCCTGAGGATTCACTTAAATGGGCCTTAAGTCAGTGTGACAACCAGAGTGTTGCTCTTTGACAGTTTTTAAAAATGTTTTAAAGATATTCATGTCATTTTCTTGGTGGTACAATGAACAATAAAGGCAGTACTTACAATATAAAGTGTATTAAATAACTACAAGTAAAAAGTCACCTTTGGACATTATCATCATCAGAAATCTAAATGTATTTGATGTTGCTGAATGCAAGCTATTGTAACAAGCAGAGGGGAAAACAATCAGGCAGATATTTTAAATCCAGTATTAAAATAATTGAATCTCAACAGAACTGTGATCGGCCACAGTTAAGTCTGTGCTTTGAAAATGATATTCTTGATGTTTCAGCACAAAAGTTTCAGAGCATCACTGGAAGTCGGGGAAATATTTGCTGTCCGCTCCTTTGCTGTAGAGAATTCCAGGATACAAAGAAGATTTTGTGGGGTTTGGTCTTACGACACTTATTCATTTGTACTCTTTGCAGGAGAAAAGATTGGGCCCTTGCCTAGCAACATAACTTTCTCTTTTCAATTCTTGTCATAATAGAGTCATAATATTTTGTTAAGGTGCAATAATGATAAAATTACCATTACTGCCAGCTCCTATTTTGTGCTTTTGATATCTGTTTCTTTTAACAATCAGTTAGCAGGGGATTAAAGGTGACTGTGCTGCACTGGCAATTTTTGATATCTTATTACTGATTCCCTCAGACTGGTCTTTTAAACTTTTCAATACAAAAATATGAAACACAATCCATGACATGGATCAGCATAGTACACACACAAATAAATATATACAGCTGTATCCTAGCCAGGGCTGTTTACTGCATCTTCCATTTACTTGCAAAATTATTGTAGTTACTTTCCGCGCAACATGAGCCTTTGCTATTAAATTCACAGATCCGTACTAATTGCAGACAACTGAGGAAATAAGCAAACCATGATGTTCAGAAGTAAAAAGGCGCAAACATGCCATTTAAAGACAATCCATGCCAGTGCCATGCATTGCAGTTTGATTGACTCCCCCTGCATCACATCCTGCGATTCACTGCATGAAGGACACTATATAAAAATTAATGGTAGATTAGATGGCACAGAAGAGTGGAGGGCTCCAGCTGCCTGCCTTCCTGGTCGCCTCTCTAAGGAAGGCAGAAGCAGCTCTAAAGCTATCATGTCCCTGCTTCATCACCCTTGTTACATCTCCCCACTCCCCTCGGCCCCCGAAGTCCTCTATAAACAACAGGAAGAGAACGGGGAAAAGAACCTCCACGTTTCACCCTACCCCCTCATCCCCAGCCTTTTCTCCAAAATGGGGATGAAAGCGGGAAATAAACCAGCTAAACAAATCTCAGTAGGACACAGTTTTTGTTTGTTCCCACTACGGCCCCCACAATAAACCCCAAATTCCTCTGCAGCCCATAACGGTGTTGCAGTATATATATCCTGGAGCCTTTGCTAAGCAGACACTATAACAGATCATTCTGGTTCACCAACCATTTTAATTTCTTGGAAACTACTTTCCAGCCGCACCTCCCTCATTTTTAGAGCATCCCTTCTGTTTCCACATGCACTCATTATATCCTGCCATTTGTTATGCCCACTTCTCCTCTATATCCCATTAAATATGTGCATTATGCAACCTGTAAGAAGGAAGTTAAGAACGGATGGGACCAAAACCTGCAAACAAACCAAAAAAAAAGCAACCAAAAATCTCATCCTAGCAGTGTACAAGAATTTTAAAAAATCCTTATGCTGCTGTTCTTTAAACAGATCGAGGGGTTCATCCGCTGCTACGCTGTACTCCTTCCTCTCATTTTATTGCTTGAGGGTAATTCTTTGGAAGTACATGATAATCACCACCTTACAATTTGCTTCCACAGGCATTGGCTGTCAGAAGCAGCAGCTTTCTACTTTTTTTTTGTTTGTTTAAAGAAATATGATGCCCATCTTCTATCATAAGGGCTCTGATTTTTCTGGGGTGCTATGGGGTTGGGGTTTTTTTCATTTGGTAGCATAACAGTAGTTACTTTCAAGTCAGTGCACATTATCCATGCCATAAAGAGAAAGGGGGAAAAGCTTCATGTAACTGATGCTGCACAAAAGAAAACATACCTGATCTCTTTGATGCTCTCCAGTTTGCACATGATTTCTTGCTCATCAGCCATGCTTTTCACTCCCAATTTAAACCTCCTGTTAAATGTGCAAATGCCAGGAAAGAAAACCCCATACAATAGACACAATGTAGCCACCCCCTCCAGGCATATGGTCTCTGAGCCTGTGCAGTAAAATCTAGGAGGAGCTCTGGGAGTTAGAGTCCAGTTCCTTATTGGTGCCCAGGCACATGGAAGCAGGGAAGACTACAACACCCACAAGGCAGAGCAGAGATTTCCTACTCCTCTTCCTGCAGCCATACTTTAAATCAATTTGTCACAGCTAATAATGTCAAAGGTAGTTAGGAGGGCAAGGGAGCAGAGTACTTCCTCCCTGAGGTTTGTGGCTTGTTTTTCTTTCAATTAAACCAATCCAGCAATAAATAAGTAAGTATTACGGGTGAGTTTGACAAGTCTAAGATTTGATGGGAAAAGACATTTTAAAATAATCCCAGCTAATAGCTGCAACCATTGCTACAGCCACACACTTGTGTATTGGACAGTTTAATTGCCACGAGGGTAGCCAGAGACGTGAAGAAGTGTGGGGGTTCTGATCATTTTCTTTATGGTCTCAGAACAACATAATGAGTGAAAATTACAGAAAAGAAATAATAAAGTGAGAATACAAATATGATGCTAGAAAAGATTTAAAGCAACCCTTTGCCTTCTTTGCACCTTCCTTCTGAGGATCTGCAAAAATTTTACAGATCCTGAATTAGACTGCCAATCCTGTATGAAAGAGGTTTTTATTTTTTTTGTCCAGCCGCTATGGTACGCTATGCTAGATGCTACGTAGACAGCTGTAGGATGCAATGTTTTTGCAAAAAACAAAAAAAAACCCCAAACCAAAAAAACCCCGCAATATCATTCCAGAACACATTAGCAGGAGAAGCATATTGAAGACATGGGGGGTAAGTACTGTGTAGTACTCAGTGCTAAGGCCTCAGCTGGTACAATTTTCTCAGCTTTGGGCAACACAGAGTAAGAAGGATGTGGACGAACTGGAGGAAGTTCAGAGGCAGGTAACAAGGATGATAGGGGATTTGGAGAAATAGTTACAGGGAAAGATTGAAGATATGTTGTTTGTTTAATTTAGAAGCCTGAGTGGAAACCTAGGTCTTCCACTATGTAAAAAGGCGGTGATAAAGAGGACTGTAAGCATTTTCTCTCCATGTCCACTGAGAATAGGAGAAATAGTAATTGGCTACATTTGGAGAAAAGATTTAGGCTAGATATAAGGAAAACGTTTCTAACTATAAAGATAGCAAAGCCCTGGAACAAGGTAACCAGGACAGTTGTAGGATCTTCTTCACAGGAATTTTTTAAGAACAAATTAAATAATCAACTGTTGGTGATGGTCTGGTATATGTGATCCCACTTGATTTCTTTCATAGAGAAGTAAGGCTGAAAAGGACCTCAAGTGATCATCTAGTCCAACTGGGGAATCTTAGTGCAAAGGGTCCAACTAGATCAGAGGTGTCGAGCTCATCTTGAGCCAGATCCAAACTATAGGGTCCTCCTGGGCTGGATCTGGAAGGTAAATGGTTGTGGCTGGTCTGGCAAGGAGCCAGGAACATAGCAGGGCATGAGAGGTTGCAGCACTGGGAGTCCAGAGGCAGCAGTGTGGATGCAAGGGCTGTGGTGGTGGGGCCAAGTACTGGTGGGCCGGCAACCAGAGGGTGAGCAGAGCTGCATCTGCTCAGCCCTTGCTCCTGCACCAATGGCCACATCCCCAGAATCCGCAGCAGGCCTCCACAACTTCCAGTAGCCCACTGGTAAGCATACAGGCTAGACAGAATAGTTCTGCAGGCCAAATCTGGCCCATGGGACACATTTTTTACACCCGTAGACTAGCTGATCTTTTGAGGACCCTTCCAGTTCTATGGTGTATCACTGACTTCAGTGAAACTACTTATGCAAGGCAAGGGGCATAGGTTTACTAGAGTTTGCAGGATAAGGCCCAAAGGAGGGAAGGACAGATCTCTTCACTTTCAGGCCATCCTGCAGAAGCATTCCTCTCTTATTTTACTCCAAAATGCCTACACATCAAAATGACTTCTTTTTCCTGACTCTCCACCCAGATGTAATCATAAACAACAAGGGTTGCTCACAATGCATCCTGTGTAGACTGTAGGCGTAAGTCCTCAAGGCCAACTTGAAAAAATGCAACATGAGCATCAACTTGTGGAAGACTATCACCCAGGACCACCCCAAATGGAGGAAGAGTCTGCTGGAAAGATCTCAGTCCTCTGAAACCTCATGACAACAACAGGAGATGAAAAAGTGGGAGTGGCAGAAACAGCGTGTCTCAGACCAAATCAAGGATCCAGAGCCACCCACTCTACATGCAATAATGTGCCTGAGTTGCAGCACAGCCTGTCAATCCTGGATTGGCCTCATAAGCCATCTTTGGACCCACGGATAAGACAGTCATGGAAGACAATCATCCTCAAATGCAATGGATTGCCAAAGAAGAAGTCTTAAGTGTGTGATGCTTTACTGAGCATCTTGAAAATCTCTTGCAGCCCATTACTGGCAAGTTTGGGTGTTGTGTACTTTGTGGGGTAGGTGAAATGTTCAGCTCAATCTGATAAAGAAAGGTGAAAAGAGCTATAGTCAATGCCCTTGTTTTCTGTTGCATTAATAATAGGCAGTAATCTGGATACTGTCCTTGACATGCCATGAGACAAGCAGTACTGTAATGCCACATTTTTGGATAAACCCAAATGCCAGATCCAGACCACTCTGATTGCTGGAGAAGTTGCCATCAGGCCTATTTCCACTCATTTTACAGATCGGGAGACTGAGGCACAGTGAAGCTAAGGAACTTGCCCAAACTTTAACTCAGAATAGAACTTAGATCTCTGATATCTAGTCCCCTGATCCAATCACTAAAAGCTATTTGAAGAATAATGTGCAGCAGGATGGATCTTGTTTAATTCTTATACTGAATGATGTTTAGCACCGGAGTCCTGCTACAGAAGATAAATACTGTGCATATATGGCCCTTTTTTTCTGAAATCCTGAGAGTGCTTTGCAAAAGTGCATAAAAAATAGAACCACAGAGAGGTTAGGGTTTAAATTTTCAAACATAGTTGCCTAAAATCAGGTACGTAAATAAGTAGCTGGATTTTTACAGATGATGGATATACATATTTCTTTTGGAAAAGCAGGCCTAATTTTGCTGTTTGCCTCTAAATCCATAGTCTTAACTTTAACCAAATATGAAATTTATGTTGACTTAACTGAAAACTTGCATGTCCATGGTAACAGAGGGGTAACTCCAGTCACATGTGAGTATTTGTGCTGGCTGCTGTAGGTTTCTTCTAAAGATACCAATCTGTGTTTGCAATCACTCTGTGATGCATTTATGTCAAACATTGCCAGTTGTGAAGAGCATTGCCATTTACAACTCTCATAATAAGGAATGCTACAATCTTCTCCTGGGCATCTGATACTTCTGTCGAGCAGAAAACATAATCTGAAATAAATGAGCAGCAAAAAAGAAACTTATTAGGAAATGGGGCACAAAGGAGATGGAAGTTACATCACTCCACACCAGAAATGCTACTCGTGTGACAAAGTAGATGGACCTTTGCCAAAGAGAAGCCATCTACTTCAGTTCTCTATGTAGGTCTCCAACTGGGGAGGGGGAATATGTTTGACTCTTAGTGAGGCTTTCTACAAGTTGTACCAACAAAAGGGTATCTCAGTAGTCTCTAGAGAGGTTGCTCAGGACATGCACCTTTTCTGCCAAGCATTGCTTGATTGTAATGCCACAACAAACTCTTGATAAATAAAGTTGCAACTGTTTGTATCACCATCATTTGGAAATTTGTTATACACAAATAAAATGTGGTTGTTAACGTGTGTGACGTAAGACAGTTTTGTCAAAAGATGGGTCCTCTTTTGATGACACATGAAAGGTTTGTTACTTCCTTAAGTCTGAGCTTCACTGATCTGGGAAACAAGATAAGCCATGTCAATCCGGAACTGTCTTCTGCATACAAAGCTAATGCAAAGATCCTTCCAGGTGCTTAATTCTTCATTCCTGGTGCACTCTCAGCTCCATTTGAGGTAAATGGGAGTTTGCTGTGAGGGAATATGAGACCAAATCTCCCTTGATAATTTAAAAGGCGAATTCTTTTAGCAGATAACATTATTTGTCCTAATTATGCACAAATGAGCAGAATGATTTTCCCTGTCGTTTATTTGCATTCTTCCGCAACCTGCTGTTAATGTTCTCCTGCTGTCTGCAGAAGATTGCTCTTCTCCAAGGGTAGTTCCTCAACTGCTGTTTGTCGCTGTTCTCTGCCTACATTTGCCCTTTGCAGAGATCCCATGTGTATATTTGCCAGTGAAGTTCCCCGCATTCCTGGAGTACTATCAAGCAAATCCGAATCTCAGAAATGAAACAATGATGTGCCAGTATAACCATCTCAGTAAATGTTGTTGGACTAAAAACCTTGGACTGATTAAAAACCCTCCATGCATGGCAATTCCCACTAACCTAAAGGGATATTTGTGTGGTATACAGAGGGCTTGAAAAATCAGGCCCTGTTTATACCAGTTTACTTCCCTCAGTCCATTTTTAAATAAGTTACAGATCACCATTTGAAGTAGGTCATGGGGTAGAATTTGGCCCTGCAGTTGGAAGAAATAAAAAGCCAGAAACCAGGTTTCAGGGGTGAGGTGTCCTCACACATCTCTTGTGTTAAACAGATATACTGGTGCGTAGACTGAATAATGCTGAATTAGGATCTGCAGCAGCAGCCGTGTTTGGGAGAAGGCATGGATTGAACTATATGTGGTGTCATTATTTCTTTTGTTTGTTCGTAAAGTCAAACAAATGACGGGGCTTAGCTGTGACTCTGCCTGGGGCAGACTGTTAGGAGAGATAGAAAAACCACCTAGTCTTGAGGGATTGAAAAATGTCAATGAACTTCATCTTGGAAGCGTTTAAATTTAATTTGGTAGGGGCCTGGTTTTAAGAAACGATGAGTACTTACAACAGCAACCAAGTCCATGGGAGCTGCAGATGCTATTTTTGTATTTACCAGAAATCAGACCTAAGTTATTGTGTTAGTATCAAAGTACTCCAGTTATGGACCAAGACTATTAGCTCACCTCCCGTGAG